AAAGGCCTCCTGGCAGAACAGACTGTACGTGGAGTGAGGGCCGTATAGAATTGCCAGAGGGCTGGAGGGGACTCTGGAGTGGTCATCTACAGGCAAGTCGGGGCACTGGTCCTCTAGGGGAGCCACTACCTGGGCCTGGAGGGGAGTAGGAGGCCACCAATGGAACTGCTAAATTAAAACATGCACTGTCCGTGCATCAGAAAAATAAGGAGTAATGCATCTATGTATGGTGGACATGTGATAAACCAAAAATAACATGTTAGCAGTGGGAGGATCTGGGTGGTGTCTATATGGATATTCACTCTACAGTACTTTCAACTCTTGTGTATCCTTGAAAAGGCTCATAATTAAACAAAATTAAATGAGCATAATAACAGACTTTGTAGCATCTGTCTATAGCTGCTATTACTCTAACTGGCCCTTCAGATGGCTGCGGGGTGAGTGGACACTGGAAGGGCGAGTCTGGCCCCCACACAGGCACACCTGCCGTGGTCATGGAGCTGGAGCTGTGGGAAATCAACTTTCTTACCTGTCATCACCACATCTGCCATCAGCAACGTCCCAAGTAGCAGGAAGATGGCCTCCACCTTGCCTCTCCTTGCTATCTTTTCTGCAATTCTTGCAAGTGTGCTTTAATTTGAAGAAAACTAGTCTGACTCCTTAATTCAAGGAAATCTGAGAATCACGTTCTTAGCTTCCTAGTGTCTGCAGTTTAGGGATACACAGAAGGAAATCATATGGAATGAAGTTAAGTGGGACAGAGAAAGACAGTGATATGATATTGCTTACATGTGGAATGTAAAAAAAAAGTCACAAATGAACTTATACACAAAACAGAAGCAAAGTCACAGATGTAGAAAACAAACTTACAGTTACCTGAGGGGAAAGGGGAAGGAGGGATACTTTGGGAGATTAGCACTGACATACACACTACTGTACATGAAATGGGTAACTGATAAGGACCTGCTATATAGCACAGAGAAGTCTATTTGATACTTTGTAATGACCTACATGGGAAAAGAATCCAACTATACTTCAATAAAAATGTTTAAAAATAAAATATATACTTAAAAAAAAAAAGACGATTGTGGCATCTGGTCTTATCACTTCACGGCAAACAGATGGGGAAATATGGAAACAATGTCAGATTTCATTTTCATGGGCTCCAAAATTACTGTGGACAATGACTGCAGCCATGAAATTAAAAGACACTTGCTCTTTGCAAGAAATGCAACAACAAATCTAGACAGCGTATTAAAAAGCAGAAACATCACTTTGGACAAAGGTCCATCTAGTCAAAAGCTATGGTTTTTCCAGTAGTCATGCACAGATGTGAGAGGTGGACCATAAAAGAAGGCTGAGCACTGAAGAACTGATGTTTTTGAACTGTGGTGCTAGAGAAGACTCTTGAGAGTCCCTTGGACAGCAAGGTAATCAAACCAGTCAATCCTAAAGGAAATCAACCGTGAATATTCATGAGAAGGACTGATGCTCAAGCTGAAACTCCAATACTTTGGCCATCTGATGTGAACAGCCAACTCACTGGAAAAGACCCTGATGTTGGGAAAGAGTGAAGGCAGGAGGAGAAGGAGGTGACAGACGATGAGATGGTTAGATGGCATCACCAACTCAATGGACATGAGTTTGAGCAAACTCCAGGAGACAGTGAATGACAGGGAAGCCTGGTGTGCTGCAGTCCACAGGGATGCAAAGAGTGGGACACAACTGAGCAAGTGAACAACCACCATTCAACCCACTGCATGTATCCAACCAATACATCAATTAAAAACATGAGGATACCTAAACCCTTTCCCAGAAAGCTACTGGTAAATGTAACTGTCCAAATGAGAGAGAAAGTCAAGAGAAAAGAAGACATTTAGTCCCAGAAGCAGAGGCTGCTGCACAGGAAAGAGACAGGGAATGCCCAGGACAGCGATAAAGCAGAGCTGCGGGCAGACTGTGCGCACCAGGCGGAGACCACCGTCTGGCCTGCAGCAGGGCGGCCGTGAAGAAAGCAGGACTGAGCGGGGCTAAGGGTTCCTTCTGCAGAATGTAGGAAGGCTCCGGTGCATACAACTAAGCAAATGAGAAGAGGCAGCCATTAGTCCCAGGAAAACAGAAACTACAAGGAAATAAAGAATATAATATTACCGTGCATTATTCTGCACAGCAATGAACAGCATTTGCAGTGAATACTAATTCAGCCAAAATATGAATATATCATGTTAGAAAGACCAAGTATTAGATGTGTGGGGGTGAAGGAATATTAAGAATGCCAATTCTTCATCTTCCATTAAAGATAATAACATTGAGAGTGAGATAGTATAAATATTATTTAATATACAGAGATAGATATGTAGAAAGATTTACTATCTATTACTTTGGGGTGAGGGAATGAAACAAGGGGTAGAGGTGGATGGGGAAGGGTACTGGCTATTTTATTTTGAAACTGTGTTCCTATTGCTTTGAAAACAAAATTAAACAAAATATAATGATGCAGCAAAAAAAGAAAAGGTTCTGAGAAAAGGAATTTGTTCAGGGCCATGACACAGTTAAGAAGTATTTGTCACAATGTCTCAAAGTTTCTAACAGCTTGCAGGAGTATGGAAATTCTTGAAACAGGGTTCTTCAAAAAAAAAAAAAGGTTCCAAAGTGGTAAGTCTTCCTAAGGAGTCAAATACAAACAATCAAATGAGAACCACACACCCGACCAACAACACTCCTGAAGTATGCTGACTAACAGATCCACCCTCTATGTTACATTATTGTAACTCTACCCAGGTTTGCTTAATGTAACAACCATAAATAACTGGTGTAACCAGGTAAAGGAGTTCAAGATATAATCCAGACTGGTATCTGGGAAGATATCTGCCAATGAATCCAGTCTGTAGGTGAATGGAATCTAAAGATGGCACAACATTAAGAATATGAGATCAAAAGCCTGTGTTCTGAATACACCCAGAGAGGAACAATGAGCAACTTCCGTAAGAGCTCTTCTGTCAAGCTTGTATGAGGAGAGGAGAGGCTATTAGGAAATTGGGTAGCAGCAATGGTGCTAGGACAAGCTGAAATAAAAAAGGGAAATCTTACTCTCTACTTAATTAATATCTTCCTTTATCCAGTTCATTAATGTCTGACTCACTGGCACACCAAGTCTATTCCCACTCTGGCCTTCCCTCCTCCTCTTCAGTTGCCTTAAAAGTCCACCTACTTCAACTAGACACAGACTAAACTGCTCTATGTCCTAAATGGATGTTGGCTACTTTGAACTTCTCCACACAAATAGGGACAGCCACTTAATTACAGCTGTTATACTCAGTGTAACTGACAATAACAAACTTCTAAACAGACCAGTTTAGAATCTCTATGTTGTCACACTAATCTTAGTTACTTATTTCCTTGAGGTTGTGTGTCTACCTGAATTGTAAGTCTTTAAAAGATACAAGGACAGCACCAGGTACAAATAGGTACTTAAAAGTTTTCCTATAAATGTATGAAAACAAACATTTTTAAGAGAAAGAAAATGTGCCAGAGTTATCACTGGTGTGGGGTAGGTAGCCCTAGAAATAAATTTTTAAAGCCAAGCCACTTTGGTTAACATTTCAAGCGGTTTTTGACCTTGTCGCAGATTACTACCATGCCTGTGATCACTGAAGTAGGAAAAATCGAAGGTCAAGAGCAAAAAAGCAAATGGTAACAAAGAAAATATAATGATGCCACTGAAAAGAACCCTTCATGTATTTTCATAACTCATGAAAAAATTAATCCCAAAGCAAAAACAAATGCTTCTATTAAGTTATTTTGAAACCAACAAGGAAAAGGGGGAAAAAAACCGTTTTCCTTTTCCATCAGCTCTTTCTCATTCAGTGCTGCTCAATATTTCTCCAATTCTTACAATAAAACACTCTTTATCATGAGTGAGGACAGTCTGTTAAGACTTTTTAACTAAAAAGTATAAATGCCCAATCATAGCACTCATGTCTTCATAATTACTTCTGACAAACTTGTGAAAGGCAGCACTAGTGAGCACACTTACATAAATATCAAAAGTCCTTTTCATATTCAGAAGATAAATCAAATTCAAACAGCTTAGAAAATTTTTGTCAAAATTAGATAAAATGGCAACTTAATCAAGAAACTTGAAAAACACTTCAACTCTAGAAGAGCATGAAATTCCTAAATGCCTAAACTTCTTTCCAGAGTTTGTTTTCCCAAAATACTAACAAAAACTTATGATAGAAACTCTAGTTTCCTGATTGAAGTTCTCTTTGTTGGCAACAGAAACAAAGCCTTCAAATACAACTATGTACTTTGCTTTAATTTAAAAAGTAAATAAGCCCTTTTGAGAGTAAAGCACATTTCCGAACCTTTCACCTGGTACAGTAAAAAGAAAGCTATTGGGAGTCATAGGTCAGAGGGCTGGAGAAGCAGAGCTGCATGCCAAAGATCATGAAAAGCATTTACGTTCTTTATCTCCCAACCAGCCGAGTATCGTCAAAGCTGCCTCAGCACAAGGATGAGTTCTCATCATACTTCCTAAAGCGCCAATTCTTCACTTTAGAATTATGCACCATGGCAATTACCTCTGTGGGTTAACAGTCTCAACTGAAGCTGTATTCCTCACTTGGCCTTCTATTCTACAAAATGCACAAAATGCAGGATTTCAGATAGGAGACCGTCCTATCTCTAAAAAATTTACCTAAATCTACCAGTTCCTGAGTTTTAACAGCAAGGCCCTGGCATCTGTAACTTGCAACTTCCATACTGAATAAGTCATCATGAAACATAAGAATGCAGAGTTAAAGCAGGCTGTGGGCATGTGGAAATCTTAATAACACCTGAAAAGAAAAAAATATTAATTCTATGGTATGCTTTTTTTTTTTTTTAATTTGGCTGCATCAGGTCTTAGTTGTGGCACGCAGGTACAGTATGCTTTTCAACCTCCAAACTCTAAGAGCTGACATCTATCTGATGTGCTGAATCTTCTGTAGAAGTCTTACCTGTTTGGCTTTCGAGTTCTTCCCAGCAGAAGTCTTCTCACTTGCATTTCCATCCATCCCTCTCAGAACACTGATGAAGTCCTTCTTGGAAACCGAGGATATCAACTTAGCTCGTTTTCTAATAGAGCCTCCAGCTTCTTTAACCTTCTCATCTACATTCTTTTGATGCTTTTGAACGGCATTAAATAACTGCACCACACCCCTATGGAACACAAATGACCAGAATAATGTCATTACGTAACAATTACACTAGAACACAAACTCTTGAGGACAGACCCGATCTATTTTCACTGCTCAGAAAAGAGGCAGTCATCTAATAAACGCTCAAGAGCATGGAAAAAGTCTGCAAAGTGAACATACACTTCAATGAATGAATGTAAGTATCTGAATAGAGGATAAATACATGTGAGTTGATTTGTGGTTTTTCTCAGCTTCAATCTTTCTAAATCAACTTTGGAACAAACCTCTGCTTCTCAAAATCTAATCATATAATGGCTGAAGACTTTAAGTGTCAATGGGATGAGCACAGGCTTTACAGTTAGCTATCCGATTATCTGACGCCAGAAAGAGCTCCTGGATCTTGATTTTACCTGTAAATGGAAAAAATAATACTAAGAAGCTTAGAAAGTATTCAGCTACCTTACCTGCAAGTCTTATTATATAAAACTAATTTTTTTTTAAGTTTATTTGAAGTACTTTGTTCTGGAGTTAAGCTCATGGAAATTCTGAAGATTAAGACTTGTGGTGTCCATTATAGTAGTCACAGGCCACATGTAGCAAGTGAACACATGACCTACGGCCAGAACAATGTTGCAGTGTGCTCCAAGTTTAAAATACACACTAGATTTAAAGACAGTATGAGAAAAAAAATTTTTAATTTCATTAATACTTGCTTTATATTTATTACATGTTGAAATAATTTGAATATATTGAGTTAAACAAAATTTATCATTGACTTTAATTTCACTTCTTTGTTTTTACTTTTTTCATGGAGGCGCTCAGAAAATTTTAAGTTGCACATGTGGCTCACACTGGATTTCTAGTCGATTTCTACTGGCCAGCACTGCTTTACACCACCGACACCCCTTCCAGCTCTAAGCATCTATCACCTTTTCATGTTGCTGCTGTAACCATCATCGGCGGAGGCGCTCTGCCACAGGTGCTGAGCATCCCTGCACACTCTTGCTGGGCTCGGAAGAGCATAAGGCCTGACCGCTCTTTACCAGGCCGTTTCTCAGGGCTGCGTCTGCGGTACGCAACCTTGAGAGATGAGGTAATGTCTCCCCCCAGACAAAGAGCAGGCTTGTTACCATTCCCCATAAAAGCAACGGATCCCCAGGTACAGAGTTCCTCTCCTGTAACACAACCCACCGCACACACAGACATGCATCGAGGGCACCTGCACTGCCCCCGGGGACACAGGGAACTGGTGGGGATGTGAAGCTCTGGCAACGGCTTCAGCCGTGAGTAACAGTCCTTCGTCTCTGATCTACAAGCGTCTGTCCTCTGCCAGCATCCAAGAAACCTCGCTGGCACCAATCCTGTACTCTTCTCAGCTCTGCGTGGGTATTAATTCATGTAATTCTCAGAGAAATCCTATAGCGTAGGTATAACGTTCTCTGTTTCCACGGATAAATAAACTGAGACAGAAGGAAATTAAGTAACTGCCCAGGGACACCCAGCTAGTCAGTCAGCGCTGGGATCGGTTAGCAGTCCGGCTCTGCCCTCACTCCCTCAACCATCCGGCCTCACTGGCTCACCATCCAACACCCAGATGGATTGCCATAGGCAGCTCGAAGTTAAAGGGAATCTCACTGAATGTTACTGCTGTATTCTTTAAATGGTAACCTACCATTAAATGGTAACTGCTACCTCCTTCATGGAGCCTTCCTCAACTCCATACACAACCTCCCGTCAGATGCTCCCGAAACACAGGACATAGCCTTACTCCCAAAGAGACTAGAACCCCCACAGGTAAGTGGGCAAGGACCATGCAGCAGCCACCAGATTCTATTCATCTCTGGGCACAGAGGTCATCAACTAAATGCTGGTGCCAAGATTAAAAAAAAAAAAAATGCTAAGTGAAACGACAGCACAAAGCTGCTATAATGTGTAATTTGTTAGGTCATAAATATAGTGCAAAATAACAAAAACAATCACCTCATGCCATAAACTTAGATAAGCATTCTAAGAGAAACACAGGTAGAGGTCTGATTATAATGTTCTCGTGACCATAAAACACAAGATGATCTGAAATAGGTTCATACCAAATACACACTTAGCCCATTAGACACTTGCCTCACGAGATCTCCAAAATCTGTGGCTGAATCCAGTATTAGGTAGGCAGGCTGAGATGTAAATCACTTGGCTCTGACCAGGCAGAGCTTAAGAATCAAACCTCGTCAGAAATGGATCACTACAAAGCTTTAGCACACTTAGTTTTTAAAGGGCAAGAACACTATCTTACCTTGTAGCAATTCTCTGAAGATTTCTCTCCGTTTCTTTGTCTTTGACAACATCTGGCTTTACTCTGCACATCATTTCCCATTCCCGCTTCTTATCAAGCTGTGTTATAAATAGTGTTATGTGAAAGAACATTAGGCATTTTTGAAAGTGCAGCACACTTTGATATGATACTCTGTGAAAGGACAAAGGCAATAAATCATTCGAGCTTTAGCTTGTCACAGGGCCTTTCAGAAACCCACCCTTTCAGGGGTCCGGCTCCGGGAGCCTGCGGTTAGCACTTGGCGTGTCATGTGAGACGCACCCAGTGAGCAGCCGGCAGGCTCTCCGACAGCAGGGGTCTGGGGCACCGCCAGTGTGCGGAGCCAGGAGGGCCAGGCTGGGGGTGAGGGAGCCCTGCGCCCAACCTGCCATCGCCAGAAGCCTCAGAAGGCAGCATCAGCAAGACGCCAAACCACCCTCTTCCGTAACCACGAGTTTAAACACTGCGTCTCTTTATTTTTAGAAACTGACTTCCCCAGCGGCCGGAATTATTAAGAACTTGTATCAGCTTTTAAAAGAACAGCATTGTGTCCTATTAGCACTGTAATAGATAGAACCTATTTAAACAGTGACTGTTCTTCTTTCCTCTTATGGCACATCTGACCACTGTCCTTGCCGTATATGGCTTATCAGTCACAAACTACAGCAAGCTGACTCCCTCTCATAATGCAGATATAGAAACAGATTAGGAAATAAGAATATCCCACAGACAACATCATCTCATTCAAAACTGTTCTCAGGAGGTTTCCTGGTCTCAGGTCCTTGATTTGATACACTTGCTTCTCCAGGTCCCCCACTTAGGGTCAACATATCACCAAACATCAAATATACTGAATATGATGAACTAATTATCAAGAAGCTGGTAATAAGCATCAAAATCAGGAAGAACCAGTGGGAAAAAGTCTCCTTTTTATCTTTTTCTTTTCTTCATTCATCTGATCTCTCACTTTGTATTAACGAAAACATCTGTTCACAGTAAAACCAAATCTTTGCTCTTGCTATACTCTGAAGCCTTTTTAAAGAAATAGCTTCTTCCCCAAATCGGATATTTTAACTGTAATGAAATTCACTGTCAGATTATACCAGAAATTAAAAAACCTTACTTTTAAAACAGTCAATCCTTAATTATCTCTTGTACCCAGGGGATAACAGGCATGCATGATCCCCAGGTATTTTTTAACTCTGAAAGGTATTTCTCTACTTATAACTAGAAATAGGTAGCCAATATTCTGGAAGCCAATAATATTTAACATTAAGAAACAAACACAATTTACACAGACTCTACCCAGAAATACATACTCCAGAGCATTTGTGGCTGCTGGGTCGTGTTCCTGGTATGAACACACGTGCTTTCATGCATTACGTGGACAGCATCAGCTCTAGCAAGCAAAGCTTTGGTCCAGAGCAGAGTCAGGAATTTCTTTCTGTTGGCTTTAAAATGTTGTTCTCTTACTGAAACATTGGCACTAGGGGTAATTAAGGATTCTGATATTCTTAAAGCCTCCTCTAGTTTTTGCCAGATTAAAAAGAAAAACAAAGGTTCAAATTTTAAGTTGAAAAGCTATCAGTAAGACTTAGAGACAAAGTTGATCTTAAATAAAGTACAATGAGAATATTAAATTAGTAATAGAGTACGTTCTAAGAGCAGCACTTGAAAAGTTCCATCTTTATACAGCCTCCAACAGAGAGCACCCAGTATTATGAACAAGGAAAACATTCATCTTGAAATAAGATAAGGGGATGGTGAACTTAAAAGGAAACAAATGCCAACTGGAACTTAAGTTTTCTCTCCTTTTTATGGATAAAGTACCTCTTGGAAATAAGTACTTTTATATTGTCAGTATGACTGTATAAAGTTACTTTTCTTTCATTAAAAAATAACACCTATTTCAGCGGCCAAACAGTTTAGACATATTATTGTTCTACTATTCATTTATTATTGTTTATCTTTGTAATACACAACAGCAAACTTAAAGTCCAACTTTTGGCCTTTCATTAGCAGACAGCACCAGTCTAGCTTCTTCCATTACTGGTTTAACAAAAGATATAATGAACTCAAGTTTATCCATCAGTAAAACAGTTTTTTTTCAGAACTGCAACCAACCCTGTCAATAACATCATCACAGATTTATATCATAAAATAGATTTTAAGCTAAAAGTAACTAATATGATTCTATTAGTTCAGAGTTAGCTTTATTAATAAAAGTTAACATCTGGACAGGTAAGTTGAATAAAATATTCAAACCTAGGAGTCACTGGCACATGTATAAGTACTTCACTTTTAAAAGGATACATTTCCTTGGAGTTCACGTTTTTATTGTTTTGCTTAGATGAATAAAAAACATGCTCAAGAGAACGATTCAGACTAGGTTTCTGAACACAACCTTGGTTATCCAGTCACAGGCACAACACAAGTTACAAACTGGAATGTTAACTGGAGAAACACTGAAAGGAACAATTCGGTACCAATGAGAACTAGCCTTGCCACCCCAATGTACAGAACAACTGGTAGGACACACCTGTTTCCTTTTCTCTAGTCTCTCTTGTTTTAACTTCTCTTTGTCCTTTTCCAGCTCTCTGTTTCTGACCAGGATGGCGGGTTTGCTCTCAGGAATCTTCTTGTTCAGGATTCTAGCCATGGCATCTGCCCAGCCCGCATTAGTCCCCACACTAGCCTCTGCGGCACTGTCGTTGTCATCCTCACGGGGTTCAGCTTCATCTTCGCTGTCAGCTTCCACTGCGTCATCACCAGAGGAAAAGTGATCTTTTTCCAATCCACAGCTTCCGAGAGGACCTAACAGTAGAAACAAACTGAACTTTAATACTGGAGGCATTGTTTGGCAAGGCCACGGTGAAACCCCCAGGTGCCTTCCTAAGGCTAATGGTTCTCCATCTGTCTCCAGCCTTATTTCCAAGGGCCACAGCTGCAGTGACAGTGGAGAACGGCAGGACCCTCCATCCTCCCCGCCATGTGGCCGGGGGAGGCCGCCACAGCATCAGCACCCAGGACCCAGGGAATGGAAGTAAATCCAACAGCCTCAGGGCTCCTGTGGTCAGTGGTGACAGATGCTGCCATGGGGCTGCTGCAGGGTGTGTGCAAACCCACAGGCTTTTAACTGCATTATTAAACTACTTGAAGAGACTAACAAATATTATTTTAAAAACAAGTAACAACAAAAAACTTTAATCTGTCAAGAAAATGGAATAGTGTTTTCACGGCACAGAGGTCAGAGTAAGTTCTCTGAGGGCTTTGGGCCTGATGTTTAAAATCTGAATCCCGGTTTGGAAAAATCTAAACACTTGTTTCCTTTTACAGAATCTGCCTATAACATTAATAAACTGGGTGCTGCAACATTTTTGAAAAAATAATCTAATGAAGCGATATGTGCCCCAAATTTGACTGCACTGCTGGACGGCCAAATGAAAACATCAAGTTTTGAGTGAAGGATACAAATTTGTACACTGTGGAGCTGTACCATGCAGACCACCCAGAACCACCCAAAGAAGCATACACATACTATGTCATCTGTAAGATTAAAACAGCTGAGATCAGAGGAGTGGCCAAAACACAATCCAGTTGGTGGTCTTGCTTGAAAACCAACTTGCTGAGAACCCCTGGGTACTTTAAGTGTTGCAGTCTGTCAAATTCTGAAGCTCACTGCAGTTTAACAAGAGCACAAGCGCCAGCGAAATCTGTGCGCAACTGTATACCAGAACCTTCTGAAGCGCTTCTGCTTTGCTCTTCAAAACCCTGCGGAGCTAAATTAAGAAAGGCTTCAAAAGTAATTTTATATTACCTCATGGCTACGATCAAAGAGAATGGAACTGACTATATAGTCAGCTCTTCCACTCTGAGGGATCCTCCCTAACCTCTTGACTTGAAGTCATGAATTAAGACAGAACTGCTTTAATGACTTGACTTAATCATCACTACACTTGCTTTTTGGTATTACATTTGACTAATACCTTTGTTTTTTTGATTGCTGAGAACTCATGAAACAAAACGATGGAAAACTATTTAATACATTTCAAAAAAAAAATTTGCAGCATATTAGAAAATGGCAAATAAAAACGTATAAAACAAATCAGTTTATACATATATAAAATGAGTCTCAAGCATAGGAGTAAAAATGAAGTATCTTCAAAAAGTAACAGAACAATACATAAAATTAAACACGGAGGGCAAAATAATACTTTAAAAAAGCATGATCTTACATAAAGTATGTTAATGGTATCAAAAAAATTAAAGGAAATGATAAGAAGCAAGCTGCTGCTGCTGCTGCTGCTGCTAACTCGCTTCAGTCGTGTCCGACTCTGTGTGACCCCATAGACGGCAGCCCACCAGGCTCCTCTGTCCCTGGGATTCTCCAGGCAAGAATACTGGAGTGGGTTGCCATTTCCTTCTCCAAAAGAAGCAAGAATTATTAATAATTCTACTGCCCTAATGTGTTGCATATTTCTTAAAAGAGAAAAAAAATTTTTGAAAGAGAACTTAATTTGACGCATAATTTGAAGCCTCCACTGTATCCTGTATGCCTGGCAAATTTAAGAAATCTGAGAAGGTGACAAGGATGTGACATGCAGATTTAGGTGATATAAAAGCACTCACTCTCTGCAATGTAAGAGAAAGTATACAAATTTTGCCAAACAAAAGCTGAAAGCACTACTATTCAATGAAAATCTGTGTGTCTACTATATACCAGATTCCACAGCCCAGAAGCATCTCCTAGGACCAGCGTTCCCTGGAAAGTACATTGAGAAACAGTCTGGGGAATGTAGTTAAGTGAAAAACATGTATGTTAATACAGAATATGTTTATTCCTCAGAGTCAGCAGCACTGGACAGGTACTAACAACAAAATAAACAATTCTTTGAAAAGTACTTCTTCTAGGCACGCATTCATCTAAATGTAAAGAGGCACAATGGTTTGTGTCAATGAAGAATCTGAGTGATCAGCAGCAGAGGTTTTTACTAGTTCCTGGTAAAAAATGTCAAAACTACAACACTGACACCTAGTGTTTTGTCCTAATGAAGTCACACACAAACTGCAGTGAATTTCACATATTCACCAACACTGTAAAGGCAGCCAAAGACTTTCTGGCTGTATAAGCCACTGCAGTTCTCCATTTCTAAACCTGGGCTATTTTTCTTTGCTTTGTTTCTTACCCAGTTTGACTACCACAACATGCATGCTATGGACACAATAAATTCATGAAGTTTTATAACACCATTTCATACAACCTGCACTTACCCCACCAATTAAAAAAAAAAATTTCCAGAAGAATTTGCTGCAGTCATGGCTTTTTATTATATTTTTAAGACACCCTAACTCAGAAGTTTTCAGTCATGCACTCATGGCCAATGGAAATGATGGTATTTTCTAAAAATAAATTTAAATATGTCAATGTTATGTGGTCAGCTAGCATACTACAAAACAAAGTTTTCTTCTGGAATACCAAAGCAAATCACTACACAAGTCAGAAAACAGAAATGACCCTTAAAAATTTACCGTGGCCAATGAAGACGAGATTTTTTTGAATTTACCACAAACTGATATTCTACAGAAGTGGATGTAACCCAGGGATCTAAAGGCCCCAGATAAGCAAAAAATTCCTTTGAAGGAATTTTATTTTAAACATTAACTCTAATTTTGCATTCTATTTTAAAAACCTGGAAATTAAGGAAGGGCGACAAAGAATGCTTACTGGAAGTAATAACTAACGGTTCCAACAGAACATTGTGCTTATGAAAATGTTCTCGTATCAGAGCTGCCCACCAACCACAAGAGCCTAGTGGGTCCTTCACATGTGGCTAATACAATGAAGTCACTGAATTTTTTTTTAACTCGACGAAGTTTTAATTACTTCACCGTGACTAGTGGCCACATTGGGCAGGGCAAGGTTAGACTTCTGAGGTAACCAGGTAGGCAGAGGCATCTCTCCATCTCTTGCTGCACTTTCTCCAAACTTCCACTAGCCTTTCAAACTTGCCATCTGTCCGTCATCCCAGATACAGTGAGCTACTGGCAGAAAAGTGAATTATTTTCCTTAGCCTTTGGAACTGGGATAAAGTTTTTTAAAAGACTCACAGTCCTTCAATATTTACCAAGTACTCGTGAATGAAGATGAAGGAAGGAGAAAATGAAAAATCTAGATTTTCCCCTTGAAGAAGTCAAATATTTAGCAGGATACTAATAGAAAACTTTGGTTTAAAATTTGTAAGCATTCTTCTAATAGAAAAATAACAAAGAAAAGGTTTAGGGGTACCTTTTACAAAGATGATTTCAAGTTACTTCTTAAAGGTAAAGTAAGAGCTGGAATGACAAGAGAAAGAAAAGGCCAAAGAAGTAAAATTCTACAATAAGGCCAACTGAAAGAGGCATGGGAGAGATCATTGAATCTAGAACCGAAACATTCTAGATTTGAGTCAGTGCTCTGTAATAAAATTAGAATTAGTATTGTAATCACCACTACGACACTCCAGGCAGAAGAACCCAGCATGCCCAAAAAGCACGGGGTGCTGAAGAAGATGAGATATCTATAAAACATAAAGGAGTCCATACAGGCTGAAACTGGAGATGTGGGGATTGAACAGTGAGAACTGGGTATGAAAAGCTGGTTAGTTTATATAAATAAGCCGGTCTGATTTATCATCCAAGAAAAAAACATACATCAAGCCCCAGGTGCACTATAGGTGTGTACTTCCAGCAAGCAGCCAAACTGCTAATGCTATTTTCACCTCCCACTTACCTCAGATCCCTCCTTCTAAGAAAGTTTCTCTACTGGATTAAAAAGGTTGTTCTTTTAAAATACAATTATCATCTGGGAGCATTAAGGATATTGCTTAACCTTGATCTTATGTCACACCTTTAGAGTTTACTCTAAATCAAACAGTACTTATAAAAATTTGAGATCAGTTAGCAGTGGTTAAAGAGTAAAGACACAGAACTCAGGCTGCCTGATTCAATCTTAACTCCAGACACAAACCTACATGACTTTTCTGAAGGTTTTTACCTTCTCAATCTTAGTTTCCTCGTCTGTAAAAATGGCAATAAAACAGCACCTACTTCATGGGGTTTTATGGTAATTAACTCAGTTTCTGAAAAGAGTGCCTAGCCCATAGGAAACGTTTACATGTCAATTACACCCTTCCCCGCCCCCCACCCCCATGCCCCTCAGGACATACATAATGTGGCTGAAGAGAAGACAGGAGCAAAGAACAAACAGCTCTAGTGGCTGGAATCTACAGGACACATGAGGTGCTGAATGGAAAGCTTTACAGCACACGGGTTAAGCACTCAGAATATAAAAGGAGCAGACGTAGAGTTATGCCCCATTTCCATTACTTCCTACTAGCATAACCTTGGGCAAGTTACCTAACCCCTCTGTGTCTTAGTAAGCTAGGTTGTTATGATGATTAAATGAGATCAAACAGGAAAAGCACTTACCACAGCTCTAGCACACAGTAGGCATTAAATAGATGACAATAATCAGAAGACAGACAAGGAGACTAAGAACCTGGGAGCCAGAGCAGGGAGGCATACCAAAAGTCCTAAAAAGGACTGACAAAAGACGGGGAGGGGGAATAAATTTTCCTCCCACTATAATTCCACCCAGTCCTGGCTATCCTCTAACCCATATGCCAGGTGTTCATGGTGAGCAAGTAACCTTTGATTCTATTTCAGAAGCGGTCGATGTCTCTCTCCTACAGTTTTCCAAGCACTGTAAAACAGTGATGAATATTAACTAGCCAACAAGTGTTTAGGGCAAGGTACTATTTAAAGGGCTTTTAATG